CTTGCAATAACCTCTCTAACTTATCTTCATGGACTTAGCAGATTTACACCTGAAGATGATAGTTTTAAAGAAGGTAAAGAGATTTAACATTGAATCAGAGGGGCCAATGGGAAGATTTGTAGAACCAATTTGAGCATTCTAGGAACAACAGGTCGGCATTTTTTAGACACCCCATATCCTCGTCAGTGCATGGAATTTGGGTGTTAGTTCAGAGCTGGTGCCTTTAGGGGAGGGAGAAAAGTTATTGTCTCAGTGTTCTGGGTCCAGGCCAGAAAGCAGGTCCCCCAACCAGTCAGTGGGAAACCCAGGCCTGAGTGATCTCCCTGTGGTGAGAGCTCCATGTTGTTTAGAAAGCTCAGTGGGACCTGGGCTTCCATCAAAGAGGCTTGGCCTGAGGTTTTGCTCCACACTTTTCAGTCTTGCTCTTCTTTCCCCAGCAGTGGCTTTCCTTCAGGTCCACGGACTCTATCACCAGCACCTATTCATCCCCTTGGTGGCAGATAGAGGGAGAGTTTGGAAAGTGCTTTTTTTGAGCTGCTGAAGGAAACCTGAACAGACGTTAGAGTCTGAAAGATCTCTTCTTCCCTCTGCATAGGACAGAAGTCAGAAAAGTATTGTAAGGCAAAGAGAAGCAGAATCCTGGGAATCCTCCACAGGATGTCAGAGGATTTAGATTCATGTCCTGCTTCTGTCATGTCATGTTGAGCACATCATCAGTGCCCTAAGACTCAGGTGCCTTCCTTATCAAATGAGGGTTGGGTATTTTATACTGCCTAGTATTATTTTAAATGGTGTTTTTCTCACTATCTCTTCTTGCAAGGTCTTGTTTGTGATATATAGGAATGCTGATGATTTCTGTGGATTCACTTTATATCCTGCCATTTTGCTAAAATTATTGTTTCAATTAACTTTTTAAATTTTGGGGATTTTCCAAGTATATCATCATATCATCTGCCAGTCTTGATGTTTGCGAGTGTTCTGACCCAGACAAATAAATGCAGTGCTATACAACAAATCTCTGAAAGCTGCCCACTCCTTTTCTCTTCCACTGTTGCCAACTGTGTGTTGGCTGAACTTTCTCTCCAAGTTAGCAACAAACTTCCAGCTCAGAGAACAACTCTAATCTGTTGACATTCATCCTTCTGGTAGTCATTTTGCTGTGGGGCCAATGCTCTTGTTGAATGCCAATATTTACCTTGGAGAGGATAAATCTATGATCAGTCCAGCACTCTGTGCCACACATTGCCTTTGTCCCTCTCACATCTTGTCTGTCTCTTCTCCTTACAATTTATATCCTCCAAAGTATTTATACCAGCACTTTTAGTGATAACTAAGAATTGGAAACCAAGTAGATGCCCATCAGTTGGGGAATGGCTAGATGAGTTGTGGCACATGAATGGAATGAAATACTACTGTACTGTAAGAAATGATGCATGTAATGAATACAGAAAAGCATACAAAGCACCATGTAAACAGAGTGAAGTATGCAAAACCAAGACAGCGTTTGGGCGGGACTTGCATCTTGTGATTTTGGGGCCCCAGCACCCCTAAACCTCTAAACCTCAACAAAGGGAGGAGTCTTTTTATCCTGGATGATTTAATAAACTTCTTTCTAAATTATTCCAGTTTAAGAATTTTTTTGTTCTCATCTCACAATGGCAATTGAGATTTTTTTTTAGTCCAACAGCTTCATTTTACAGATGAAGAAATGGAGGTCCTGAAAAAGTTAAATGACTTGCCCAGAGTCACACAGGTAAGCGTTGGGGATGTTTTACACAACCAGATGCTCTGCCCTCCATCCAGTACCTGCTTCCCTTCACTTAATTTTCCTCGAAGCCCTAACTAGGAATTTTTTCACCAAGGGGGGAAAGTAGTTGGGACATTGTGAGATAGGGGTGAGGAGGGGCTGGGACTCTTCCTGGACATGAAGGAACAAAGGAACTTCAGATCCTGAGGAAAAGATGGTCACGTGTTTCCCAAGATACAGCCCAACCCACAGTGCAGCCAGTTGCAGGACAACAAACAATGCCGCCCTTCCCCCCCAAATGGGCAAAGGATGCGGTCCTACAAGCCAGCAGAAGACCTTGAGGAGTGAAGCCTAGTAATGTTACTGGACACTGTAGGGATGAATCACTCCCTCTATGCAGTCAGTCAACTAGTAAGCATTTACTAAGGGTTTACTAAGTACTGCACACCAAGCTAAGTTCTGGGAAAACTAACACTAGCAAAAAGAAAGACAATCCCCGCCCTCTAGGAATTTCCACTGTAATAGGGGAAGACAAAGGAAACTGAAAATGAGTGGCTGAGGGAGGAGGGAGGAGGAAAGTGACCTGCCCAGGGGCATGAAGGAGGAGTTTGGGGAGAAATGAATGCTAACACCTTGGGTCAAAATCCCAGTCCTCCCACCCTCTTTCTAGATCTTTCTAATATGCTCTTCAGACAGATAATACTAGATAGCATTAAAAACTAGGATTTATATAGTGCTTGAAAGTTGTGAAAAGCCTCACTTGGTCATTGCTTGGGGTTTGATGGCTCAGAGAGAGTGTAAATAGCAATTGTTTCTGTTCCGGCCAGAAACCCTGAGAGTCTTCTTATCCCAAAGTGATATATTTTTTAAGTAGGCAAACTAGGCCATCTTTTGCCTCATTTCTTACCTAGCCTTAAATCACTGAATGGGCGTTGCCTCAGACAAACCGACACCTGGGGAAGACTTTAGCTTAAAACAGCTGAGTTCTCCCACAGCATCTGGGGCCATCTCCAGTCATCCTGACCTATGTCTTGCCATTGGACTCAGATCTCTCTGACTCAGGATGCAGTCATCTACCCACTGTACCACCCAGCTGCCTCTGAGGAATGGAGGTGCCTGTTTGTGGCTACATAAACTTGCTGACTTGATATTCCTTAGATTTGGCTAACTGATAAAGGCAGGCATGTTGTACATGATCCCTCATAGCACCTTCTGTGAAAAATAAACCCAGCTCTAACATGTATGGATTAATTTCCCATTTTGATTTATTCAAAATAGGGCTGACTTTGGATTCAGAGAATCTTGGGCCAAGTCCAAGTCTGTCCCTCACTGTCTGTGTGACCCCGGACCCCCAGGTGACCTTGCTCAGTCTCAGGATCCTCACTCTAATGCCAAGGGATGGAATAGATGATCTCTGCCTAAGGGCTCTGCCAAGTCTCATCTCAGAGCTCCCCTTCACAGAGCACTTTAAGACTAAAAGAACTTTCATCAGGATCATCCTGTGAAATGGTAGAGAAGGAAAGCAGGAAGGAATCCCTGCAGCTTCCAAAGGGCGAATGAGTAAACTCAGGGATTGGACATGCAAGGCTCTGCAGGATATGTTTGGAATTATAAAAGTAAGAACACTGAGCAGAGAAGTTAGAAATCCATGGGAATCGAAAGAATTGCACCTATAGTCAACATTATGGAAGATTGTTCCAAATGACCAGTATTTAGAAACATGCCAATCAAAACAACTCCAAGGTTTCACCCACTCCTGAAGTCAATTGGTAAAGATGACAAAAATGGGAATACTAGGTGTTTGAGAGGCCATGGAAAGACAAGCACATGAATGACCTAATGCTTGAGGTATGGCTGGGCCTAACAATTCCAGAAAGTCCTTTGTGATTATGCTAGAAAGTGACTGTGATATCTAAATCCTTTGACCCAGAAACCCTACTGGTCAATGGTATCAAAGAAAGACTCCTTCTGTGCCAAAATATTTGCAACAACATTTTTGGGAATGGCAAAAAATTGGAAACAAAAAAGATAACATGTCCATTGGATGGGGGATGGTAAAACAAATTGGAAAATATGGAAGCCATGGAATGTTCATGTGTGCTAAGGTAAGATGACTGTAGAGAAGTGAGGGAAAACTTACATCAACTGATGCAAAGTGAAGCAAGAAGAACCTGGAAAATAACAGACACAAGAGTCACAACAAAGTAAGTGGAAAGAACAACAAAATAATTGACACTGAGTTCTCTGAAACTGTAGGGACAAACTTGCTTCCAAGGCACAGAGGAGAGGCCACTTTGCCACCTTTTTCACAGAGGTGGGGGACTATGGGTGTGGCACACGGCATATGTCAGAACTTTTTGGTTTGTTGGTTACTTTGGCTGATCTGTTTTCTCTCTTTTCTTCTTTGTTACAGGGAATGGCTCTGTGGCGAAAGGGAAAGGGAGAGCTATGTTGGGAAATATAGGTGAGGTAGAAGCAAATGATGCCAAAAGTAACTTTTTCAAGGGAGACATGTCATAGAAAGAGAGGACACATGATAATGATGCGCTCCAGTCACGGAGATCTGAGGTGAGGTGACACAGGAGAAGGCAACCAGCTGCAAGCCCTACCCACCAAAGTGCATCATAGCTGGGACTGGCAGAGTAGGAGTTTCCAGGAAGAGGCTGATGCCAGCCAGACAAGAGGGAAATCCTGCCCCTAACCCTGACTGAGATCCACTGTGGACGCCAAGCTCGCACCCCACGGTCAAAGGGACTCAACAAAAATGGGAGCTGCTCCAGAGGGAAATTCTGAGGAAACAATACAAAAAAGAGGAAAAGTGGGATTTGTCTCAAGGGGCCAAAGTGCATGCACAAGGAACTCACCAAGCAAGAATGTTTTTTTCAAATCAAGAGAAGTTGGAAAGAAGGCCAAGGTCAGGAATGGTAAAGCACAGAGTGATTTCAGTTAAGCAAGAGAGCCAAGGACAAAAAAATGGCTGGTTTGGGATTTTTAAAAAAGTTATATTACAAGAAAATGGAAGGTCAAAGTCACTGAAAAAATAAGACTTTGGGGGAAGAGAGGTGGCTGGTTTAATGACAAGTAACAGTAGAGAGAAGGCAGAGTGGCTCATTTTTTGGTTTCATTTCTTTTTATCTTTCGCAAAGGAAGGAGTTTGACACTGGAAATGAAACTGTGAGCATGACTAATTGTACAATGAGACCCAAAATATGTAAAGAGCTATTAAGAGGTAATCAGGCTGCCCTTGATGATGGGGAGAGGGAAACAAGGGGATAGAGCCAAGAGAGTGATTCACCAGGGTCAAATGCAGTGCTAGCAATGAGGGGAAGGTGACCTCTGTGGTCTCACAAAGAGAAGAGACTCCAGGGAATGTTGAGGGGGAGCTGGGGGAGAATGAAAACAGAAACGAAAGAAGGAAGCTTTAGTTTTGTGGGGGGAGGGGAATCTACTGATAAATGCTCTCATGGGAGATGGGAGATGAAGCCCTTACTCTGTAAGAAGCCAAGGGGATTTGGTGCCTGAAATATCTACTTGTCCTGCTAAGGTAGGAGTTGAAACTTTTGGGGACAACAGGCACCTGGAGGAGGAGAGGACCCGGGGACATCTCCAGGCAAATATAGAAAGAAGCTGGCCAACAAGAGAAGGTATGGATCAGTGGTGGAAGAAGTGCCCTACAACAGGGCAGTACCCTCTCTGACAGCTGCCATGATTGGTATTGTTGTGAGAGTGAGGCACAGTTGAAAAGGGGAATCCCTGGGATGAGCCCTACAATGCAGGAGCAGAAAGGGCCCAGAGGGCAGAACCTAGAATGGGTGCCTTGGAAGCTTTGATTGTATAAAGAAAAGAGAGAGACCTACAGAGGTGATCATAAGGGTCATGAATCAGAGAATGAAGGTCTAGGGTAGACAGAATAATGAAGAGAGTGAAAGAAATTCCATTTTTGAAAAGCTGCAGGAAAGAGAATTTAAAAACCTAATGTACAGGTTAAGGGAAGGAGAAAAGGGTGGAATCTACCTAAGTGAGAGAAATAAGAGGGGGAGACATATATAACCAGATAAAAGCAAGAGAGAGGAACTCATAGAACTGTAAAGGGAAAGGGGTAACACATGATAAGAGGGGACTGGGGTGAGGGAGAGAGAGCCAACGGGAACAGGGACACCTTAAAAAATGAAAGTATCTGAAAGAATATAATACTGTGCTTATAGCAGAAGGGGGGAGAAATCATAACTTGAAAAAAATTCCAATTTTAGAGGTAGATGGAGGAAAATATAAATTTACCTCTTATAACTTTTAAAAGTGGATGGATTGGCGCAGCTAGGTGGCACAATGGATAGAGCACGGGCTTTGAAATCAGGAGGACCTGAGTTCCAATGTGGCCTCAGACAAACACTTGACACTTACTAGCTGTGTGACCCTGGGTAAGTCACTTAACCCCAACTGCCTTAAAAAAAAAAGTAGATGGATTAAATAATCCAATGAGAAAAAGAATGACAGATTAGATAAGAAAACAAAATGCTACAATCTGTTGCTTACAAGAAAAAGCAAGAAATAAACTTAAAAAACAAAGACATATGCAAAATAAAACTGAGGGGATTGAAAAAATGTACTCTGCATCAAATGAATCTAAAAAAATAGTAGTTGCCATCATTTTATTTTTTTAAATAATATTTTCCCCCAGTTATATCAAAGACAATTTTTAACATTCATTTTTAAAAATTTAAAAATTTAAATTTTTTTTAAAAGTCCTGATTGTTTTTCTACAGTATTTAAGTTGTTTTTTTCTTGTTGTTTGCAATATTTTTTAAATTGTAAGGCAATGATTAAGATTGAACTATTTGCTTATTATATATAAAATGTTATTAATATTAGTCACTATTAGTAGTAATTGTATTCTTTTTTTTTTTGGCTAGGCAATGGGGTTAAGTGACTTGCCCAGGGTCACACAGCTAGTAAGTGTTATATGTCTGAGGCCAGATTTGAACTTAGGTCCTCCTGAATTCAGGGCCAGTGCTCTATCCACTGTGCCACCTAGCTATAGCATTCTTAAAATTTATCATTAATAAGGTAGTTTGAAAGAAAGGTTGGGCAAAGTTGTACATGATGAAGTGATTCTAAAACACAAAAGTAGGTAGGAAAAGGTTGAAAGGAGAAATTATGTTATGAAAATGGGGAGTGAAAGGAAGAACTACTACAGAGGAAGCAGGTGGAGGTGGAGACTGGTTATTTTAGAACCTTACTCTCATCTGGGTGGAAGAGGAAGTAGCACATACATCAGAATAGGTTTAGAAGTCTTCCGAACTTCTAGAGAGGTGAGAAAACTGGGGGATATGTTGGGGAGGCACTTTTAGAAGGGTATATAGATTAAGATTAGGATGGTGGGGTGAAGAGACAAGGGAGGGACTTTTTAGAGGAGTGGGTAAAATACAGAATAAGAGGGTAAAGGGAGAAGATAAGGTACTGGGGATAGGATGAAAACAGGCTGAGAAGGAAATTAGTGAATAAAAATAAGATGGAGGGAAATTCACAAACAATAATTATAACTTTGAATGAGAGACTTTACAAGAAAATTTGCAGAACATTGAACATATTACTTATCAGATTTATAGATAGGTGAACAATTTATGAATCAACAAGAGACTGAGAGCAAAGATGGATGTAAAAAGGATAATTTCAATTACATTAAATTAAAATTTTTTTGTATAAATAAAACAAATATAGCCAAAATTAGAAGGAAAGCAGAACATTGGGGAAAACGTTTTTAAAGACAGTTTGTCAGATAAAGGTCTCATATCTAAAATGCATAAAGAATTTTGTCAAATTTTATGAATATGAGTTATTCCCCAATTGATAAATGGTCAAAGGATATGAACAGGCAGTTTTCCAATGAAGAAATCAAAACAATTTATAGTCATAGAAAAATGACCTAAATCATTATTAATTAGGGAAATGTAGACTAAAACAACCTTGAGATATCATTTTACACATACCAGATTGGTTAAAATGATCGGAGAAAAAGACAAGTGTTGGAGAGGAAGTGACCCAGTCTCTAACACTTTCTTTTTATATATATATGTGTGTGTGTGTGTGTGTGTGTGTGTGTGTGTGTGTGTGTGTGTGTGTGTATGTATGTATGTATTATATATATATATACATAAATATAACAATTATTAATTTATTTATTTTTAGTTTCCAACATTCACTTCCACAAGACTTTGAGTTCCAAATTTTCTCCCCTTCTCACCCCTCCCCCCACTGCAAGACAGCATGCATTCTGAATATCCCTTCCCCTAATCTGCCTTCCCTTCCATCACCTCTGCCTTCTCTTATCTCCTTCCCCTTCTGTTTTTCTATAGGGCAGGTTAGATTTCTATACCCCATTGCCTGTATATCTTATTTACCAGTTCCATGTAAAAACAATTTTTAACATTTGTTTTTAAAACTTTGAGTTCCAAATTTTCTCCCTTCCTCCCTCCCCACCCACCCCCATTGGGAAGGCAAGCAATTCGATAAAGGTTATACCTGTGTAGTCATGCGAAACACTTCCGTGGTAGTCACATTATAAAAAACTAACTGTATTTCCCTTCATCCTATCTCACCCCCCCATTTATTCTATTCTCTCTTTTAACCCTGTCTCACTAATTGTGATGTCTCCCAAGACTTATTCCTGAGTATTCTTCTCTTCTCCTTCTATGTTCTCTCACTTAGAGATCTTCACTGCCGTGGATTCACTTACCATTTCTTTGAAGATGATTCCCAGCTCTGCTCCCTCTCCAGAGCTCCAGTCTTCTTACCCTTCCCCCTCCCCCATGAAATAAATGTATGACTCAGCTCTCCTGGCCTTGTGGCTGTTACTCACACCTGATGCTCCATCTTCTGAGCTGAGGCTCTGAGGGAGTCAAAGGGAAGAAGCTTCTGGCATTCCTAACTAAGTCTTTGCTCCAGCTGAAAGAGCTTCTGACACCATGAAGATGAAGTAAACATTCTGGGGGAAAGGACATGAAGGGCCCAGTTCTGGAGCTGGGAGATGCCTTGGCCGGGTCTGTCTCCCATCCTTGTGTCCCTTGGGTTGCTGCCCATTCTTTCCCCTCCTAGAATGCTGAGGCATTTGTGGGAAAGTGTGCCCTGGTATAGGGGAGGGGAAATGATATGGGCTGTGTTCTTGCTATGAAGTTTGAGTTGATGCCTTATTAAATATCTGAGTCAGGCGGCTGATTGCTAAGGTGGAAGGACATGGATGGAGGCTTGTGGCCTAGTGCTGGGTAAGAGAGCCACACCCAGGATGACCCCTAGAATCCTAGGAGTGAGGGTGTGAGCTGGATGAGTGGGCCCCGAGGAATTGTTACAGACCTATTTATTTATTTGTTTGTTTGTTTGTTTATTTATGCTGAGCAATGTGGTTAAGTGACTTGCCCAGGGTCACACAGTTAGTAAGTGTCAAGTGTCTGAATTTGAACTCAGGTCCTTCTGACTCCAGGGCCAGTGCTCTATCTACTGTGCAGCCTAGCTTCTCCCACAGACCTATTTTAAATAAGCTCTTCATGATGTTTCGTTTTCACATGGCTTAGATTTCCCCTATATGTATCCTCCTCCTACAGTGTCAGCTCTTCTAACAAAGAATTTAAAAAGAAGAAATAAAAAGAGGAAGAAGAAGTGAGAAAACAAAACAATCTCCAAAAATCCCTAATGTTCTTTGCAATGTGTGTGTGTGTGAGTGTGTGTGTGTGTGTGTGTGTGTGTGTGTGTGCGATATTTCTTCTTTGAAGAACTTTTTAATTTTAATTTACCAACCTCTAGTTTTGTTTTTGGGCTGGTAATTTATTCTCTATTTTCAGTGGGCCCCATAACAACCCTAGCAGTTGGCGCAGAAGATCTGGTTACCTCCATTTTGCAGAGGAGAAAACATCAGCAGGGAGATGCTGACTCTGTCTGGGTCCCACAGCTCATAAGGGAACAATTCAAATTTGAACTTGGGTCTTCCTGGCTGCAAGCCCAGCAGGCTCTACACCAAGCTGCTTCCATGCCTAGATCTATCACTGAAAGGGACGTCAGGGGACCTCAGGTCCAGCCCCCTCAATTTGTAGATCTGTGAATTACGTCCCTTGGACAGTAAAGGGACTTCCAAAGGTCCTACAGGCAGTAAGCTTCAGAGGCAGGATTTGAACACAGGTCCTCTGATTCCAAAGCCAGTTTATTTCTACTAGAACAAATTGCCTCCTACTATTATTACCTTCATTTTACAGGGGAGAACATTAAGATTCAGACAGGAAATAGTCTCATCCAAGGTCACACAGGTCTGGGCAGTGCCAGACCTCAAACTTTGGACTCCAAGTGTGGTGTTCATTCCATTATGCCAACCCTGTGACAATCATGGGCTCAGCAGTGGGAGGGATCTCAGAGGGCATCTGGTCCAGTCCAGCCCTCAACAGCCTTCTCCAACCCCTTTCCAACAGCCCCAACGATTCATCCTCCAGCCTTGACTTAGAGACTCCACCCCAGTTCTCCTAAGACTGCTCTTCTATCTATACCGTGCTGCTCCTGAAGATGAATCTAAGAAATAGAAAAGGTGTGGGGGAAAGCATGACTGGTTTGTAAACAAGCTGGCAGAGATGCCACTTCTGAAGATCTTTGTATAACACAGCAGCTCAGATGCAGGAGCTGATTTTTTTTTTTTTTTGCTTTTTGGCAAGGCAATTGGGTTTAAGTGACTTGTCCAGCTAGTAAGTATCAGGTGTCTAAAGCCAGATTTGAACTCAGGTCCTCCTGACTCTAAGGCTACAGCTCTATACACTGTGTCACCTAGCTGCCCCAGAATTTTGCATTGTTATTTTTTTTAGGCAATTGGAGTTAAGTGACTTGTCCAGGGTCACACAGCTACTAAGTGTCTAAGTGTCTGAGGTCACATTGGAACTCAGGTCCTTCTGACTCCAGGGCTGGTGCTTTATCCACTGTGCTATCTACCTGCAGAATTTTTGTCCCCCAATTTATTTTTTTAATTTTCAATTTTAAAAAAATTTTTAGGCAGGTGGGGTTAAGTGACTTGCACAGGGTCACATAACTAGTAGGTGTCAAGTGTTTGGTCTGAGGCTGGATTTGAACTCAGGTCCTCCTGACTCCAAGGCAGGTGCTCTATCCACTGTGCCATCTACCTGCCCAGGAGCTGGTTTTGAATGACAAAGATGACAATTCAAAGGTTTAGCTTTGGCAAATAGGGCCATGTGTTTATCAGAGACTTGAATAAAGGAGGACAAAAGAATATGTCTAGTGGACTTGAAGGAAAGCAAGGCTTTTAGCTTGGGGCTAAATGAGAGATATTTGGCAGCATCACAAGAAGTCACTCCCATAAGGAACAATATGCTAATTAATGGCTTTTCCCAGCTTCCTACTATGAAAGCAAGATGAATAGTGTCAATGGCATTTTGAATGCAGTCCAGACCTTATTCTTCTCTAACCTGGAAATGGCCTGAGCTGAACAGAGCAGGCTAGATGCAGGGTGTGTCAGGACATAAAGTAGAGGTATAATTTATTTCAGAGTGAGGAAAGTGACTTGTATGAAAGGAAGCCCCCCATCCTGAGCTGGGGGTTGGGGTACAAGCAATGCTAATGTACACAAGTGGGCTGAAGAGTATTCCAAGTCTTTGGGGGTTGTTACTACTCTGCAGTACAGAACCAGAGTTCTGGGATGGGAACCAGGAGTATAGTACAAGGAACAGGGATTATGAGCATGTTAGAAATGTGGTGGATGATGGCTCTCAAATCCCTGGAAAACAGAAAGAGTGAACATGTGGTGCAAAACACTTTGCCAGAGCATGAGATCATCCAGAGAGCAAAGGACGGTTGTTATGCCAAGCTCAGGGCACAGCCTGCTTGCTGGGCCTTAGCTCTGGGAAACAGGGTATCTCCAAAATATTTTGACAATAGCGAGAAAGAGAATAAACCTTTCTCTTCCTGATGAGATGAATTCTGTCCTCCTTTCTTACTGAGAATGTGCCCAGGTGATTGTTATTCAGCAGAAAGCAAGAACAGCCCTCAGAAGGAGGTCCCTGTTTAACATCTGGGTAGTCTGGGGTAGTTCTTTTGTTGGAAGGGGCTTTATTCCAAAGGGCTTGTAGTCATTTTTATTGTGGTCATTCTTCTCTGGGCTCTAGACCTGTCTCAGAAACTTGGGAAGTGAAGGTAGGTTAGTTTTTTTTTAAAAAAAATTTGCTTATTAAAATTTTAATTTCTGGCATAAAACAAGCATTTCCATAACAGTATAATGAAATAGATGATTGCACATGAAACTGCCAATCTATTATGTACCATTTGCTATTCCTTTTAAATATATAATAAAATTATCACATAGATTACTTTTTTCCTTTTTTTCTTCCCGCCCCCACCCTGCTCTAACGATGGCCACCATCAGACACAACAAATATGTATACATGTAAGATCTTTCTATACGTGTATCTATTTGTCAGTTCTTTCCTTGGATGCACATCTTTCATATGTCATCTATAGTTAATTTGCATATTTATACTAGTTAAAATGACTTATTCACTTAAAGTTCTTCTTAAAACAATATTTTTGTTAACTTATATACAATGTTCTCTTGGTTTTGTTAATTTTGTTTTTCTTTATTTCATGTAAGTTATTGCATGTTCTAAGATCATTGAATTCATCATTTCTTATGTCACAATAATATTCCATCACAATCATATATCTTACCTTGTTCAGCCATTCCTCAGTTGACGGGCATCCCTGCTTTGCCACCATTAAGAGAGCTGCCATACACATTTTAGAGCAAATATGTTCTTTTCCTTTTTTCCCTGAGCATCTTGGGAAACTAACCTAATAGTGGTATTGATGGGTCAAAGGGTAGAGTCAGTTTAATAATTCTTTGGGCATAATTCCAGGTTACTCTCCAAAATGGTTGGATCAGTTTACAACAATAACAACAATGAATTATTATCTCAATTTTTTTCACATCATTTCCAACATTTGTTGCTTTCCTCTTCAATCATTTTAGCCAATCTGAGAGTTATAAAATAATATCTCTAGCTTGCTTTAATTTGCATTTCTCTAATTAATAATGATTTACAGTATTTTTTCATATGACTATAAATTGTTTTGATTTCTTTATCTTTATTTCTTTATTTTTCTTCCTTCCTTCCTTCCTTCCTTCCTTCCTTCCTTCCTTCCTTCCTTCCTTCCTTCCTTTCTTTCTTTCTTTCTTTCTTTCTTTCTTTCTTTCTCTTTCTTCTTTCTTTCTTTCTTCTTTCTTCTTCCTTTCTTCCTTTCTTCCTTCCTTCCTTCCTTCCTTCCTTCCTTCCTTCCTTCCTTCCTTCCTTCCTTTCTTTCTTTCCTTCTTTCTTTCTTTCCTTCTTTCTTTCTTTCTTTCCTTCTTTCTTTCTTTCTTTCTTTCTTTCTTTCTTTCTTTCTTTCTTTCTTTCTTTCTTTCTTTCTTTCTTTCTTTCTTTCTTTCTTTCTTTCTTTCTTTCTTTCTTTCTTTCTTTCTCTGTTAATATCCTTTGACCATTTATCAATGGGGAGGTCAGATGTTAATCAGTCCCTTCTGACCACCACATCTAAGAGGCAGGCTGAATTGTAAGAAAAAGCTTAGGAGGCAGCCTGGCACACTGGACGGAAGACTAGTCTTGGATCCAGGAGTCTAGATTGAGTTGATTCTTCAAAGGTGTCATTAATTGTCATTTTTATTCCATTGTGATCAGTAAAGTATATGCTTAAAATTTTTATTTTTCTATATTCAAGTATGGACTCATGCCCTAGTACATGATTAATTTATGTAAAAAGATGCCACGAATAGCTGTGACAAATGGAACATCTATTATATTCCCACTCGAGTAATCACAAGAGACATAGCATATGTTACTTTCTACAGATGTATTCAGGCTATTAACTCCCATTCTTTGGTTAATTAATACTTTTGAATGATTGAATAAAAGGAAATCTAAACCCATTGGCACCTAAGCTACCAAGGAACCAGTTGGAGACTTAGAGAAGGCCCAAGCCCAGCATTTCTAGAAAAGCCTTTAGCCAACAGTGTTGCCCATAGAAAAGGAAACTGAATTCTACATTCATCAGTCAACTGTCATCTATATGCTGGGCTTGTGAGGTCTTAGACTCATGCCCAGTTACTCAGTACAGAGGAGCAGAAGGAAAGACACAGTCCACATCCTCACAGCCCATATATTTTGCTTAATGATACTGATAACAAGGGTAAAAGTCAAACCAAGTCAAGAAGCATTTATTAAGCACCTGCTATGTGCCCTGGCACTGTGCTATTAGACACAGGAGTTACCATAAAAAGCAAAAAGCAGTCCCTGCTCTCAAGGAGCTCACAGTCTAATGATGGAGACCACACAAACCTTTACACAAAACAAGATATATGAAGGATGAATTGGAGATATCAGGAGAGAAGACAAATGAGGAAAGACTTCTGGCAGGAGGTGAGATTTGAGCTAGATCTGAAGGACACCAGAGGACTCAGGATATAGAGACAAAGAGGGAGAATTGCAGGTAAGGGAGACAGCCAGTGAAAGTGCCTCAAGTAGGGAGGTGGAAGGTATTGTTTGAGGAACAAACAAAAAGCCAGGGTCACTGGGGGCAGAAGACTTGAGGGGAGGAAGGTATAAGAAGATGAAAAGGTAAGAAAGGGCCAGGTTGTGAAGGGCTTTCAACACTAGAGGGTTCTTTACTTATCCTAGATGTGATAGGGAGCTACTATATGTTATCGAATTGGGGGCTGGCATGGTCACACCTGAACTTAAGGGAGATCTTTTCGACAGCTGAATGTCAAATGCTGGAGAGCAGAAAAGCTGGAGATAGAGACCCTAACCAGCTAATAAAGTTCTGCATGAAGACAGCAGAAGTATCAGAGGAAAGAAGGAGATGGTTATGAGAGATATTAGAAAGGCAGACTGGACAGGACTTAGCTATGGAGACTAGATATGGGGAGGCAGGGAAATAGAGAATAAGGAGTTGAGAATGACATCTAGGTTGGAGGCTGGTGCTGTCCTTGACAACAATAAGGAAGGTAGGAAATTGGGAACGTTTAGGAGGAAAGAGAGTGAGTTTAGTTTTGCACAAGTTGTATTTAATATCTATGGGGCACCCAGTTCAGAGTGTACAATAGACATTAGAGGTCAGGAGAGAAGTTAGGGCTGGATCAGTGAAGCTGAGAGGCCTCTGCATGTGAGCTGCTGAGATGACGAAATGAAATACAGAGATAGAAGATCAATGAGCAGGAAGTTAATGTAACAAGTCTTCAGGGAGCAGGTAGCCCATTGAGTTAGATACTGAAACATTTGAATAAGTAGAAAGGCTAGAAAAAATAGTGTGAGCTAAGGGTTGGAGGTTGAAATGAATATGGGGCGTGTTGGGAATCAGTCTGACCTGAGAGATCTGTATGAGGAGGGCGAGATGAGGTGTGATGGACACAAGCTGTGTCCTCTTTACTGTGTCATTGCCCAGACTCTGAGACAACACTACTGGTTCCTCGGGCTAAGGGGTCATCATTGGGAGCAATTTTCAGGTTCTGTTATCCTGCTCTTCACTGGCAACATCCTTGCTTGTTCTTAGCAGCTCCCTGGTTGGGTTCCTGTCAGCCATCATCTGGACCATGAAGTGGAATCACCAGCCAGCTTCCTACAACAGCCTCACTCCACATTTCTACTTCATACTCCTCATCCTTGTGCTTTCTGGTATTCCTAGCTCAGGTAAATTTACTTTAGTTTCTGCCACTGTGGCCTCCACAGATCACTACCTAGTGTTATTTAAATTCAATTAAACCACGAATTCAAGAAATACTTATTAGCCCCTATTGCACTCAAAGGCCTATGTTGTAACACTAGAGGAGGTACAAGGTTTAGACAAGGCATGGTCACTGATGTCAGGGTCATCGTCCCCCTCCTAGGCACCTCCACCACTATCTGCAATGTAGTAACATGGGATTGTGGAGTTGGAAGGGATCTCATTCAGTTCACGCCCTTAGATTACTGGGCCCTCAAGGGAGGAGACAAAGAATAAAAGGATCTCTCATAATAGGGACTCAAACTTGTCAGTAATGTGGGAGACTAAGTCATCATTTACTTTAACTCTTGAAGAGAATGGAAACTTTTGATATTCTTGTACAAAATATAAGGAGTCCATGAGAGCAATATGGAAGGGCTTTAAATATCTCTGAGGATCCATATAAACTTTGGCACTTTAAACTTCTCTCTGTTCTACTAACATGTCACATTAAATATTCATAACATAGGAAAAACAGGGAAGTTTTACCAGCCTGGAATATAACCCACGAAAATAGGGAACCAGAGTCACAAAGCATTAGAGCTGGGATGTCCTTTACATATCCTCTGATCTGATCCCCAGGCCCATTTTACAAGTAAGATAACTGAGGTGGGGCCAAGTGGGATTAACATGACATAATTGAAGCAGGGCCTGAATCTAAATCTTCTGACATTCAGTCGAAGATTTCCAGGATTCTACTTCTCTGTGACTACAGGACTTCTCTGACTTCTGTTCTATCCAGAGGGAAGAAGAAGCATTAAGTGAGGTCTGAAAGGCTCTTATGTCTAGGCAGGTTTCCTTCAGGGGTTCAACAAAGCACTTTCCAAACTCTCCCTCCCTTCCCCACCAAGGGGACCAGCATGTGCTGGTGATAAAGGCCCTGGACCTGAAGGAAAGCCACTTCTGGAGAAGGAAGAGCAAGACTGAAAGGTGTGGAGCAAAACCTCAGGCCATGCCAGGTCAGGACCCAGAGCTTTTCAAGGAGATGCCACATACAGGGCACTGAGGAAGACAGGACCTGGATGAAGGTTTCAGGTAGAAAGCTCAGCCAGGTTTCCAGGAGGCCCAGGACCAGCAGTGTCAGTGAGATGAGTGTCTGATGCAATCTGCATCCCAGGAGCTCTGCCTTCCAACCCCAGCACTGACCATTGCCCCCTCCTGCCTCTCTCTGATGGGCAGACTTCTGAAGGTGCTGGTGTCCATGCTAGGACCTGCCCTCTTGACCTGTGTGTGAGTGAGGTTGTCAGAACAAATGTCATCTACAGATGTAAGGGTCCCATCTCTTCTGATCCAGACCCACCCAAGAAAATAGGAAAGTTAGAATGTGTCATTGAGGGCACAGCTGTTTCTTCCCTTCTGACAAGAGGAAAAATAGCCAGCTTTTTTTGTGGGCTCTGTAGCAAAGAGCTTCAGAGAGATTCTCCCCAGGGACACATACAACCAAAGGGAATTTTGTTATTGTTGATTGACTTCAGGCATGTTTGACCCTTTGTGACCTCATTTGGGGTTTTCTTGGCCAAGATGCTGGATTGGTTTATCATTTCCTTCTCCAGCTCATTTTACAGATGAGGAAATTGAAGCAAACAGGGTTAAGTGACTTGCCCAGGGTCACATAGCTAGGAAGAGTCTGAGGCAGAATGTGAACTTAGGAAGATGAATGTTCCTGATTCCAAGGCTAGTGCTCTATCCATTGCATCCCCTAGTTGCTCTAAAGGAAATACGAAGATAGAATCATAGTTTTAGAACTGGAAAAGGCCCCAGAGATTATTAAAATCAATCCTATTATTTTATTGAAGTAACAGAAGCCCAGAGAGGTCTAGTGACTAGTCCAAAGTCACATAGCTAGTCAATAACAGAACTATCATTTGAACTCAAATCCTTTCCTTCCAGGCCCAGTAACCCAGGATGCCATCACTACTGTGACACCCTGGAAGCTCCCCACATTCCCATAATCACGCTCCTCCTCCCCCCACTGACCTGCACTGCTCTGTCCCACAGAGGTCTCCCACAGCTCTCTGGCCCAGCCTCCTTCTAAAACACTCAGCTGCACAGCCACAGAATGAGGGCAAGTCCAACAGCAGCCCAGATGCCTGGTCTTTGTTATCTATGGGCAGCTTCAGGGGTGGGGCAGAGGCTGGTGCCTCTGTGGGGCCAGTGACAGCAGCTATTGCTTCTGCCTCCACCCCAAGCTTTCAGCCCCCAATCAGCTGCCCTGGCTCCCTGAATATACAAAGGTAGTGAAGGGGGAGAACGTGTTGTCTCCATCTCTCAGGTATGTCCAAGTGTGGAAAGTGATTTCACCAAAGAGGAGCTACAAGCAGAGCAGCCCCTGAGCAGGAACACATTGAGAACTTCCTGGTCCTGGGCCGCCCTGACCCCTGCTCTGAAGGCCACATTAACTCCTCCACCTCAGTGTTCTCTGATTCTCTGCTTTTTGTCCCTGGTTCTGCACACAGGCACATTCACAGTATCTGGCCCTCTGGTCCAGCCCATCCGGGCCTGGGTGGGGAAAGATGTGCAGCTCTCCTGTCACCTCTCCCCTAAGTTTGATGTTCAGGGCATGACTGTGAAGTGGGTCAGAGGCCCACTGGTTGTGCACTTGTACCGCATGGGCCAGGAGATGGAGGAAGTCCAGGCCCCTGCATTCCAAGGGAGAACAAAGATGCTGAGAGAGGAAATGGCTGAGGGGAAGGTGACCGTGATCATCCATCAGGTCAAGCTCTCTGACACCGGCCAGTACACGTGTTATTTCCAGGAAGGTTTCTTCTACAATGAAACCAGCTTTGAACTTCAGGTAGCAGGTAGGTCCTACATGGCTCATGGATTCTCTCTAGAGCTGGCAAGGACCTTCAGACATTGGCATTGGCCCAGATCTTTAGAGTATCTAAGGTATTTTCCATAGAGTTTCATTGGAGTCTCACAACTACCTTGTGGGTTAACACTTCTGTCACAGGGACTGAAGGCCGGGTTTGTTATCTTTCAGCCCCTCAGAGTTCTCTGTTACCTTTAATGGGGTTTGGGAATATCCAGCCTCTCTGTTATTGGGTCAAGCCTCCTCAGTGATGTATTTCCCCAATTTTAGAGGCTCTTCTGTACCCTCATTCCATAGAACCACTCAATAGTCAGATTAGTTTTTATACAGTAATATTTTGTTGTACAAACAATACTTTCCCTGACACCCAAAGACACTGTCCTCCCCACAAAGGCTACTTCAGTCTCTGGAGAGTTGGGGTTGAAGGGAGTTCAGGTTCATAGCTTAGCCCAGTTTCTATATAGTACAATCTCGCCAAATTCTAAGTCCAAAGCCCCCCTTAGACTCGAGTCTCCAGCACCTGGCTTCTCAGGGCTTCCCTTCTGGGCTGGCAGCAACATTGGGCTTGATTCTTCCCTTCAAGGTCTCCATGGCTTGGGGGTGGGTGGGGTGGAGAATTCCTAGCCTGTGCCTAGAAGTGAAAAGGACCAAGAAGTAGCCACTACTCACACCCTAAGCTTGTTTGTGGAGGAACACAGAGCCTAGACTGGGGAGGGAAAGAACATTCTTCCACACCCAACTCAGTTCATGGTACTCATGCCCTGTGGGTAAATAGGACATTCATGTCCCCTGGGTACAGCTGGAAGAAAAAAGAGGAAACGAGCGGGAGAGAGATAGAAAGAGAAAAAGACAGAGACAGAGACAAAGAATGACTCCTAGTCTGGTACTTTTCATGACCCAGCCTGTTCCAGCTCTGCAGCCCATAGAAAGTGGCTAGTCCCACCCAAGTGGTAAGGAAACACAGAATGACTTCTCCCTGACCCAGGCCCCTGGAATCTCTCACATGGGTCCCTCCATGTCAGGTCAGCAGGGCAGGCACAAAGCACAGCCCCCTTCTCCTTCTCTCTCCATTTCAAGGATTTGTGTATTTATCCCATAGGCAGGGACGTATTTTGAATCCAGTTCTTGTCCCCAGTTCAGAACAATCCTCTCTGGTCTCTGGGCAGCCGTGAGGGACTTTCTTTCATCTGCTTCCCCAGGGCCCTACAGGAAGGAATCTCAGAGCAGCCCAACGGTGCAGGGTCATACACAATCCCATAGACTCAGAAGACAATCATGATCGTCTATACGAATTTGTATAGATACAATAAACACAAGAACAACATACATTTTACATTCGACCCAGAGATAATGGTTGGGGTTGCTTCCATTACAGTGCTCAGGGCAAGATGTGGAAAGGTAAGGAGAGTGTTTGGGGCTGGGGGAAGATGATGGACTCACAGCATCAGGGTGGAAAATAACCAGGAGGATTCTGAAAAGGAGGGTGGAGAACCAGCCTATAGTTAGACAGGAGGGTGATGACAGAACCAGGTCCACAAGCCAAGTCTCTCAGCTCTCATAGATTCTCTGTTCATTATACTCTGGGAGGATCCTGTTAAAGTCTAGATACTTCTGGCAGGAACTGGCATATTAAGCCATCATCTATCAAAACTCCTTGGCAAGAATGAGTGGATAAGACCCACGCCAATGCTAGGCAGGTGAGATCCAGATGAGGACATGAGACAGACCTATCCATCTATCCAGATGACCAGACTCCACAACTCCCCAGGGAGCTGAACCACTCCTCCACATAGAGCCCTCACCTGGCTCTGTGGCCCACCCTCCTTCTAGCTCAGCTGCACAGCCAATAATCACATAAGGGCCAGGCAAACTCCAGCCCAGGGGCCTGGGCTCACTCTGCACTCGTAAGTTACCTATAGGCAGTGGCAGAGCAGAGGTCAGTACAGGGCCTGCCTAGAGGCCATGGATGACATTTGTTGCCTTCCTGTCACCACATCTAACCCTCCAGCATCCAAAAAGCTTCCCTCCCTTTCTGACACAGGAAGCAGTCAGGAGAGAGAATGTCTTATCTCCAAGGGGATCACAGGAAGAAAAGTGATTTGCCAGAAGTGGGCCCACAGCAGAGCAGTAGCTGATCCAGAAGTTAGACCTTCATCTGCTGGGGCCCCCAACCACACAAACAAATACTCTTAATGCTGGGCCTACATTGTCCCCTGATTTTCTTCTGCTCTGTCCCTAGAACGCCAGAAAGGAGCATTCTCAGTGACTGGCCCTGCTCAGCTCATTCAGGCCAAGCAGGGGAAGACGTCACACTCTCCTGTGAACTGTCCCCTAAGAGAGTTGCCCACAATGTGACTGTGAACTGGTTCCGAAACCAGACCCTTGTGCACAGCTTCTCCACTGGGGAGAAGCTGGAGGAATCCCAGGGCACTGAGCTCCAGGGGAGGGTGGAGCTGCTGAAACATGACATGGCTGAGGGGAAGGTGACCTTGAAGATCCAGGATGTCCAGGTCTCTGACTCTGGTCTATACACTTGCCATGTCCAGTCAGCTGACAATTATGATGAAGCCCATATTGAGCTGCAGGTAGCAGGTAGGTCCTGTGTGGTTTATGAGTTTCTTCTGAATCACAGACTGTTAGAGCGGGAAGTGACTTTAAAAAGTCAAAACAAAACTCATTTAACAAATGAGGAAAGTGGGACCCAGAGAGAGGAGGGGGCTTTGCACAGGATCATACAATTTGGAAATGTCTAGACTGAGAATCAGACCCAGCTCTTCTCACTCCAGATCTGGCCGTTTTCTTTTCCCTGACCCATGTCTTGGATCCTCCATGCATGAAATCACAGGCTTTGAGAAAGGGACAAACTCACTTTGGGAAGTGAATCTTAATTCATGGTTTCAATTCTCTTCCCTCCCTCAGATCCTTCAGGCCTGGAGTTTCCCACTAGAAGATGGTGGAGGTCTCCCCTCTGTCCTGGAGCTCAAAAATGGGGATGATTTTATTCTTCCTCTCAAAGATGTCAAGCCTCAGCTGGCCCTCAAAAGCCACATACTGAGTGACGTATGAAGGATTTGAGGCCTTCTTCACTGTCATCTGCATGGTTTCCCTTCACATTGGCCTAGTGACAAATGTTTCCTAGCAGCCTTCTCTGTGCCCAGCCCCATGCTAGGTCAGGCTGTAGGAAAAAGAAGGGAAGAAGACCTGGCCTCATGCTTTGATGGAGCTGGAGAGATATGATACTTAATCTGATTAAAAATAATTAGCGTATGGCAGAGCGAAAGGGAGTGTGGCAGAGTGAGTGGAGTGCTGGACTTGGAGGCAGGAGGAACTGGGTCCAGATGCTGCCTCTGACTCTTATTCTGTGTGACTATGGGCAAGTCACTGAAACGTTGTGCCAACTTCAATACAAAAGACTTTTCTAGCTGTTCCCACACTGACAGAGTTATAGACCCTTAATGTATTGAGGCATATACCTGGATCCTGAGCAGCCCCAATTTAATACATTTCAGTTCATACTAATTAAATTCATAATTATGTAAAATATGGTCATTGGTTCCAACCCAACGGAAATATGCAGTGGGATTTCAAATAATGCAACCACTTCAAGAGATTCCTTCATCAAACAAAACGGGAGGCTCCCTCTATAATGAAGTGATGGATCATTTGGGACATAGCTTAGTTCAGTTCCAAAAACTTTTATTTCAATACAATTTAGGTCAATTTACATTCATTTACATATTTAGTTCCATCCCATATAATTTAGTTCCATCCAACAACTGCTATGTACAGGACCCTATACTTTAGTGGAGGAGATAGAGTTCAAATAAGACATTTCTCACCTGCTCTCAAGTTGTTCAGTTTAGGAATAAGACAGCTTAGGATAAGAAAGAAAGAGACATAATTTGAACATACAGTAATACAAGATAAGTGAATGAGAAGGAAGCAAAATGAAATGAAATGTGAAGACTGATGGGGAAGGTGTTAGTGACATAGGAATCAGTGAAGTCTACCTAGAGGTGGTGGTGATTACATTGGATTTGAAAGGAAGAGGAGGAGGAAGGGCATTGGCAGCACAAGGAACTGCATGAGCAAAGGCTTGGCAGCAGGAAGAACAGGGCATTGTTAGGGCACCAGGTCTGGTCCAGTCTGAGCAAAGTATAGAGCTCATGGAGGAAGAAGGGAGAATATTAGAAAGTTAGGAAGACACCAGATTGGGGAGGTTTAGCCCAGTATGGTGACCAAGTTAAGCAGGGTGAACTCCACAGTACAGAGCCCCTGAAGATTTTGGAGGGCAGGAATGGCCTGAGCAGGGCTGTATGCAAGGCAGAGGAGGTCCAGGTAGGCAGTGGAGGTGGGGAATCATGTGTGGAAGCTAATGGAAGACTCCAGGCAGGGGGTAAGGAGGACTTGGGCCAGTGAGGTCCCAGAGAGGATAGAGAGGAAGGGAAGGCTGGGAAAGCCATTCTGGAGGCAGGATAAAGAAGGATTGGCAGTGGTTTTGATGCTCCAGGTGAGGGAGACAGTGGGAATCAGGGATTCCTCAAACTGAAGGGAATTCATGAATCATGGCCCCTCTGATATGGAAATGGTGAGATCAAGAGTTGGAGCAGGCTTGAGAAGGAGAAACATAAACTCAATGTGTGATGTGGGAAGTGTGAGGTGTTAAAAAGACATCTGGATGGAGACGTCCTGAGGGGAGGTGGAGAGGAGGGTGCTGAGCACAGAAGAAAAGTCAGGGTTGGAGAAGGAGATCTGAACTCCATGTGGTTTGAGGTGGTAATTAAAGGTATGGTGGGACTAAAATTGCCAAGAGCACAACTGTTGAGAGAAAAGAAGATTAAAGACAGAGGCTTGACCAACATCAACCTTAACTTAGTGTGGTGGAGATGAAGATTGAAGAGAACAGACAGAGAAGAAACAGTCAGAAATGGGAGGAGAACAGGAGAGTGTCTTGTCTCTGAAATCAGTGGAAGAGAGTAAGAGAAAATAACTGAGAGGAGGCTAGGGATGGCTAATAACATCAGATACTCCAGAGAGGTCAAGGACCATGAGAACTCACAGGAAGTCCACAAGATCCATGTGTGGAGGACAATAATGGCTTTGGAGAGAACATTTCAACAGAACGATGTGAGGGAGAAAGCCAGATCGAAAGGCACAGAAGAAAAAGAGTGGTAATGAGGCAGTAGAGACTTTTTGAGTGTTGGCAACTTTGGCTTCAATTTTAGCAGTGAAGAGATAGTTGCTGGATGTGAATAAAAACATCACGGAAAGTCTTAAGGTTGGGGAGTTAGGCCAGTGGAAAGGAGCCACTGGAAAAAGAGACCCAGAAGATGAATGAAAGTGGGGATGAATATGGAGCCAGGTCCCAAGGAGGAAAGGAGGAAAGAGGACAGGATCAGTGGCACCAGGAGGGGGAATCAGCTTTGTGGGCAGAGGAAGAGAAGGGACTGAGTGAGGATGCAGAGGAGCTCTGAGGATGAAGGAAGGAAAGGGAGAGGCCTCACACTCAGGCTCGCGCTGGACTGTCTCACCAGGACTCAGCTTCCTCACAGAACCTCAGAGCTGGAAGGGAGCTCAGAGATCACCGAGTCTAGCCAGCCACTGAAAGGAAACCGCTGAAATGTCCAAAATATCCAGGACACATGGTCATCCAGCCCTGGCTGAAGGCCTTCAGGAGAAGGAGGCCTTGTTCTCTTCTTATTTTTTTAATTTATTTTATTCTGAACTTAAGAAATAAAACAAATATTTTTATAATATTGAAGAATGGGGGTGAGAAACTGATTGCCCGTTAGACTGCAAATCTATTAAGTACAACTTCAAATTTCTTTTAAATATATAACAGTGTTACGATATAACTTTCCCTTCATTTTCTTCTACACACTCTAGAGATGACTATCATTAAGCACAAATACATATATATGCAAAATGACCCTATACCTATCTTCCTTCGTAGTCAAAACAACTGAATCGCTCAAAGTTCTTTTCTTTTAATTTTTTTTTTATTTGTAGGCAGTGACTTGCCCAGGGTCACACAGCTAGTAAGTGTCAAGTGTTTGGTCTGAGGGGAGATTTGAACTCAGGTCCTCCTGACTTAAGGGCTGGTGCTCTATCCACTGTGCCACCTAGCTGCCCCCACCCAAAGTTCTTCTTAAAACAATATTGCTGTCACTGTATACAACATTCTCTTGGTTCTGCTCTCTTTACTCTCCATTATTTCAAACAAATCTATCCTTGGTCCCTACTGAGGCAGCCCCTCCCACCTGGGGCGGCTCACCTGAGCTGGAAGCCTCAATAGGCCTCCTTATCACTTCTACCTGTTGCTCCCAATTCAGCCTCTGGGACCAAAAGGAAGAAATCAGGCCCCTTCCCCAGGTCATTCGTTCATCTGGTGGAAGTCAGAGATGGGGGGTGGGGTCTCTAAGCAATTGGAAGCTGTCTGTACCCCACAAGCAGACCCTACAGTGTCATCCGGTTCACAAATGTCTTTACAAGAGTTAAGCTCATATCCCCACCTAGACAGTGAGCTCTTCAGTGACAGGGCCTACATTGTTTGGCTTCTCTCTCCTGCTCCTTCCCTACCCCAAGGGCCTATGACAGGTCTGGGCAGGCCAGCAGAAGACTCTCGGTAGGGACATCTTAGCTTGATAGAAAAACTCTCCTCTGAAGCATTTTAGAAAGATAGGGGTGCATTCATAGATGGGGGACCAAGTTTAACCCTGGCTTTTGGCATCATCCAGCCTCAAGGGAATGTCCCTCTGGCCATGATTACAGCTCAGAAGATAATTAGCCCCTGAATATCTGCCCTTTATAGAACAGAGCAGTTCCAAGTTGGCATTCCAGGTGGAAGGGACCTTATTTATCATTAAATCCAAAGTTCATTTCACATTTGGAAAACTGAGACCCAAAGCAGAAAAGGGACTTATTTACTCTACATTCCTGAGAAAGACCAGAGATGGCATGTGACCCTAGTTCTCCTGACTCCAAATCCAGCTTCCACTTTTGTTTCAAAGAAGGGTCTCCATTTCCTCCTTTCACCAATCTCTCTAGCACATGCTGCCAGATTCATTGGCCTAAAACATAGCTGGGGTCATGTCACTTCAGTTGCTCAAGTATCTTCCATGGCTCCCTATTGTCACCAAAACTGTCAAATGTCATGACCCTTCCCTCTTCTCTATTGTCCTTGTTACTATGAGGAAACAAGTACAGGGCTTCTGGGAGGTTGGGGTGAGGGAAAGTTACTTAAATAGAGGGAAGATGCTGATAGAGATTATATTGTTATTGAAGAATGTCATCTCTGGAAGGAACCTTAGAGGTTATCCAGGCCCCTTCCTCTGTTTACAGAGGAAAAAACTAAAGTGCAATGATGTGTTGAGGTCCAATTAGCCACTGAGTGACAGTCACAATTTGAAACCAGATCTGATTTTCCAGGTCTGGGACTGTTTCTGCTCTCATGTATCACACTGCTGCCCCCAATCCCCTCCTTTTATAGATGGTCAAACCAAAGTCCATTGGCAATGGACCAATGGCTGACCCCAGGCTGCTGGAGTCCAGGCTGCTCAGCTGACAGCCAGAGAGAGTTTCTCAATGGGGATGTAAGAACCAAACCTAGAATGGACTTTAGAAGAGAGTAGCATCCTCTGGAATCAGGAGACCTGGGGCCTAGTCCTGTCTAGGTCATTACCTCCATGTAACCCCTTGGACGAGTTTCTTCCTCTCTCTGGCTCCCTGTCTAATGATGGGGTTAACTAGATGTGACCTAAGTGCCCATCATCCCCTGAAAGTCTCTGACTCTATAAGGACACAGCTGTGAGGTGGTGGGAAGAGGCCTGAATCAGGAGTCAGAGGACCCAGGCTTCAGCCCTGGCTCTGTGACTTACAAGCTGAAGGACAGAAAGCCTCTCTCTCCCATTTTCCTCTCTACAAACTGAGGTAGTTGCACTAGACTCTCTCCAAGCTCTCTTGCAGTTCTCACATTCTCTTCTCTGAAGTCCTGGGGAAGCTTGTTTTTTTTGGGGGATGTTTAGAGGCTGGTGGAAGGGAGGAAGATGGCATCATCTGGGTACAAAGCCACCATCCTTGCCCAGGATTTCCTGAATCCTGATGCCCTCAGTGCTCCCACCCCTAACCTGGGCCACAGGGATCAGGCACCAGGGTTGCCCTCCTCTGATTCCCAAAGTAATGGAGTTTGGGGGCCTCTTTTCAGAGCATCTCCCCACATCTCAGAAGACACTTGCTGTAATGATTGTTGCTGTATTCTCTGTGGTCATCATTGGTTCCATCTTCACGAGTTATTTCTTCTGCCAAAGTACAAAGAACCAGAGGTAAGAGAAGGCCATGCACTTAGGCCTTTAGTCCTTCCATCACCCACCAGACCCTCTGATTGTTGCTGTGAGAGGGATCTGAGGATCCCCACATTTGCTGGACTAGGGCCCCTCCCTTGGCTCTGAACATATGGTCTGGCCCTTTATGAGGGACCTGGACTTTGCTGAGATGACAGAGAAAGTTCTGAGCAATCTCTGTGATATGTTGGTTGGTCAAAGATGATTATCCATTGGGGGTCAGGGGGAGGGACTCTTGGGGAGAAACCTCTTAGCAATGCTCTCCCCTCAGCCTAATCCTCCACACACCGGGTTACTTTCTAGGCCCACGTGGAGGGATGGAGATTGCTGGGGCTGCCTTTGGCCAGGCAGCCTGTTCCCAGAGCTGGTCCCTTCAATCTCTGAATGTGGACCTGGTCCAGCCCCGATCAATCCTTAGATGTCCTAGGCTGCTGTCCCTTACGCCCTTGGCCACTACTCAGCCGTATTGTTCCAGACCCTTTCCTTCTCCAGGCCTTACCATCCACAGGCTGACTCCAGTCATTTCACCTTGAATAAAAATTTGAATCAATGATTTCCAGCTGTGGCTTAGACTTTCCCTCATCTGAATCTCCCTTATGTGCTTAAAGCAAGCAGTCTGGTCCTAGGTGACAGCTCTTCTTCCCAGACTCCTAGCAAACCTGCTCCCTGTCACTTCCTCCCTGGCTCCAGCTGCTCTGTCCCCATGCTCCTGCCCTGGTAAACTGAGGTCCTGAGTCCAAAGGGCAATAGCTGGGACTTCCCCCCAAGAAAGCAGTAGGATACCTACTTGGAACTCAGGTTGGGACCTCAGGTCCCCCTGGTTTGTCACCTGTTGCCTGAGGCTTTGTCTTTCTAGTTTTGAGACTTTTTACCATTAAGTATGCCAGTAAGATTGTTATTTGTCTAGTTGAATTGGGTCCTTTTAATTCAATTCCAGGGTAGCTAGTGGTCTTCCTGAGTTCAAATCTGACCTCAGACAGTTAATATCTGTGTGACCCTGGGCAAGTCACTTAATCGTGCTTGCCTCAGTTCCTCAAAATGACTTGAAAAAGGAAATGGCAAAGTACTCCAGCATCTTTGACAAGAAAATCCAAATGGGGGTTGCAAAGAGCTGGACATGACTAAAAAGACTGAATAACAATTCAATTCACATTTGTTTTAGAAAGCAACTTATTTCTATTTTAAAATGTATTTTCTTAACATTTTATTAGTTATATCACTTTTTAAATCTCTCTAATTTGGTTCTTATGGATCCTTTTCCATTTTTATTTTCACATATCTTGGATGTGTGACCCTGGACTAGTCACCTACCTCTCAGTGCTCTGTAACAGTAGATGTAGCAGAGGAGGCACAGACCAGCAATGCTAATGGAAATTCCTCCTCCAAAATTCCCTGGACCAATGAATTCCCAAATACATTCCCTTATCCTTTAGAAAATCAGTTGCATTTGCTTTTAACATATTCCATTAGTTTAAAAAATTATCTTTAATGGTTTTTATTTTTAATTTATAAAGGTATTGTATTTACTTTATAAAATTATTGCTAAGCTTTATAAAACAATTAACTTTGTTTTATTGACAGGAGTGGTATCCATATGATCTATGGTATCCATAGATCAAGAAGATGGATGAAGAAATAGCAGGGACCAGCAGTGATCCTCCTGCCTGTCCTGGGGACAACCAGTTTCTGGGTCAGCTACAGGAAGACCCATCTTCCTGAGTTAAAATCTGACCCTTAGACACTCATTGTGTGAGACCCACGGCAGGTCACTTCACCCACCACTTCACCCTCATCTGTAAAATGAGCTGGAGAAGAAAATGACAAACTGTTGAAATATATTTTACCCCAAATGGGTCACAAAGAGTCAGACATGACTGAAGATAAGTGACTGAGTGGTAGAAAGGGACTATGTGTATTTTAGATGTTTTATAATGTTTGTTTAAATGCTTGTTTGTTTTTCAGTCATGTCTGATTCTTTGTGACCCCATTTTGGCTTTTCTTGGCAAGGATGCTGGAATAGCTTGCCATTTTCTTCTCTAGTTCATTTTTATACATGAGGAAGTGAGATAAACAGGGTTAAGTGACTTGACCAGGGTCACACTTAGTATCTGAGGCCAGAATTGAACTCCAGAAGATGAGTCTTCCTGACTCCAGGCCTGCTGCTCCATCCACTGTGCCAGCTAGGGGAGTTCATGGAAGACTAATACCTCTGGTATGAGGGAGGTGGAGCCCTTTCCAGGGCTGCTGTCCCCTGTTAGTGTCCACCTGATCCACCCAATTCGCAACTGTGGCTCCAAGAAGCTGGAGCATGCACACTAGCTATACCACAGTAAAGCCATCTCAGCAGAGAGGTTGAGGGTAATTGAGGGGTCTCAAACCCATGAGTTGGGGGGGTCTACCCCAAGCCTGTGAAGACTTACTGTGGGGGAATGAGCCAACAAGAACAATTTGTTCCAAGGGTCTTGAAGGTGGCTGAAGCAGGTACTATGGGGCTCTCAGAGCTTGGTTGTGCTCTCATCACATCCCACTCATCTCTGATCTCATTTCCTCATGAAGAGGCAAATGGGGAGGAGCTGAGACTCAATGATCCATCCCCTCTTGGAGACACTAATATAAGGATTATCTTGCTCTTATTATAAAAAGTTATTTTAAAAGCAATCATGTAAAAAAATAAATAAATAAAAGCAATCATGTCTTTGAGCCCTGGGCTAGCAGTGCTTTCTGCTGTGGTATTTTTTTAATAAAGTCCTTTAAAATTTTCTTTTCCTGACTTTTGCCTCTTTAATTAGGGCAAAGACCCGAATACAGAATTTTCCTTTTAACTATCTGTTACTGTGTGTATGTTAACTCTTTTGTATCTTATGTTTGTTACTTGTTGGAAGAAATTGCCAGCTATATCTGATACCCATGTTGTACAATGAATGTTTGATCTGGAGTCAACCCAGTTATCAACCTGGGGAGCCCCTAGGCACGAGCCCTATTAAGTCACACCTTTGAGATTTCCTGGGAGTGTACTGTTGGTTGGAGGCAGAGTCAAAGAGAAAAATCTCTTTGGCAATCATCCCTGTCACTCCGTACATTCAGGTCACTGTGAACCCAGAACAGAATTCCCTGGTGGGGACCCCAGAGCCATAAGTCACATCAAAAAAACAATGCCTCCCATTTCTAGAGGGCTTTAAAGTTTACAATGAATTCTGCCCCCATTGTCACTCCCCAACAACCTTGTAAGATACAGAGTGGAAGTATTATTATGGCCATTATACAGGTGAACAAAGTGTTGCTTAAGGGAAATTCAGTAATTTAGTCTTCAGGCCTTGATGGCTTCTGGAAAGAGGGCAGAGTGTCCAGCCCTACACACCTACTCCAACCAAGACCTGAAGTTCATCCCAGACCAAATAATGATTAAGAAATCCAAAGAGACTGTGCTATAAGTAACTTCTTCCATCTCAAAATAGCACAGAATCAGCCAGAATCCAATGGGCAATAACATTGGGGGGATATCAGTACAGCCAGCGTGAGCACAGGCAAACACGACCAGTCAAGGAACAGAGACATGTGTGTTAACTGCAAGGCTCTGTGTTTGAAAGTCACAAGAATGGAGGGCCCCTGAGAAAGCCCAGGGTGATCAGAAAGACCCAATGGAAGACTCTGGATGACTTGAGTAATAGTAATGAACTGAGTAACAGGGAAGTGCTCATTACTGGACAACTCAGGCACTAAGGGTTTCTGAGGAGTCCAACCCTCTGTTCTGAGATTCCAGAGAGAGTCAGGAAGATCCAGCACTCTGAACTCCAAAGATTCAGGAGGTGGAATGCAGTTCAGGAATCCAGAGGACTGAGGGGGTGATTGGATCAATAGCTATGAGTGTTCTCTCCTCTCCACAACTCACCCTCATGCCCACCATAGGTTAGGAAAAGGGCACAAACCAAGAATTTGATTGTCCCAGAGGTGGGACCAGGCTCAAGCTTGACTCAGTATCCTAAGTGGCTCTGGCTATGCTAATGTGGCTTCTTCTTCAGTTAAGGGCATAAAGAGTCCAACCCACCCAGGTGAGATCAGGGCCCTTCCCACTTGGGTGAAGTCTCCAGACTAGCAGAGTTATCATTCTTTGCCCTACTGACCAGATCTGCTTCCATATAGAGGAAGCATGAGTAGAAGGTGGGGTATATCTAGGGAAGTTAGGTACCATTCTGTCCTTCTTGCATCTCCTTGCTACGTTAAACCTAAATAAACCTGCTTTTGTTACCTGTTCAATGACTTCCCAGTGCCTTATTTTATTCTAGTATCAAACCTGAACCAACAGAGTGCTGATTTTAGGACCAGCTCTAACACTGGTACAGTCAGAAATTGGAATGAAATGAGATGGTTTCATGTATCACGTCATGGTTTAGTTGTAGGAAAGCCAGTGTGAATACCGAAGGTGGCAGATATGGCACTGTGGAAGTGATGGCAAAGACCCATTCTGGTCCTTATGGAGAATCCTCTCAGTGAAACAGAGAGGAACTCCCATTCATGCAGAGTGGTTAGGTCCATGGTGCTGAAGGTAGCAGCCAGAGAAAAATGAGAGAGAGAATACCATGTCCTAGCATTCTCTTCTTACTGTTGACCATTCTGCCAGCAGAATCAGACTGAAAGCTTTTTTTTTTTTACCTCATTATCTTCTTCTGAATATGAACCCAGATCTTCTTTTACACCATAGTGGCTATCTATGGTTAGGTTCTTTCTCCTTTGCTTACTTGTTTTTGTTTTATTTTGCTTTATTTTATTTTTAGCAGTTATTTATTGTAATTATGTTTTAATCCTGAGTCATGGGTAATGGTGCCCCAGCCCTCAGATCCTTCTTACTATTATTTTCTGAATTTTGTCCAGGGGCCTTGGGCACTTCTATCCTGCCCTAAGCCATGGTCAGGGCTCTTAGCCATGCTGTCCCCAAAATGCTCTTGCTTCCTGTAATCATTCACTGCATATGTACTTGCTCCTCCTTGCCCACAGCCACAGCCTGAGATCATGTCTGACCAGCACTGCTAGGCCTGGCATCTAAAGACATAGGACAAATGTTGGAGGGGATGTGGAAAAATTGGGACATTACTTCACCGTTGGAGGTGTTGCAGTCTGAGAGGTTGAGGCTCCTCAAAGACTGGAGAACTAGACAAGGTTGTCTGGAATGAATTCACAGACTCAAGCATTCTTTAAGTCAAGTTGGCAAAAAGTTTCTTGTTATGCCTTTCAGCAGGCAAGGAATCTTAAGGAACCTGTAAGAAACTGAGGATGGAGCTAGGGTTTATATGGAAAAGTACATGGGAAAGGAATGCCACGGTTACTGATTAGGTAACCTAAAGGTCCAGGTTGTTTTTGGGAGCTATGGATGGAAAAGTGTAGGGAGTATACCAGATAGGGAGGGAGATGACAGAGGCATGGATCTTGGGAGTCTGGCAGGAGGAAGAGTCCTTGGGCTGGGCAAGGCACCCTTCTCTCTCTGTCTTGATGAGAGAATGCTCTGCAACAAAGGAAAGCTTTCTCACAAGACAGGAACTTACTAAGGAACTAGGAGGCTTTCAGAGACATTATCTGAGGGCTGGGGCCTGAGCAGCCCAGCACTCTCTCACCCAGCTTTGTATAGCTGCACCAGGGAGAGAGATAAGGGTCTTGCTGGGGCCCATGCACAGTGTGCTTGGGCTGGGGAGTGGTTGTCAGAGACAGTGTTTCTGAGACTAGGTAGAAATTGGGGTCCAAGTACAAGCACAGGCACCCAAGCACCCCATCATCCCCCCTTAAACAGATGGGACCTGAAATCTTTTGGGATGAGGAATGAAGGTCTCAACTTCTGAAACTGCTTCCTCCTGCAATTGGGCGTAGAGCTGTCCCTGCCTCCTGGGGTCCCTCTGTTCAAAGGGTTGGTGCTTTAGCCAGTGTCCAGAACCTGACCAATGCCAGGTCCAGGAGGTGATGGGTTGTAGTCTCAGACAGAGGTTGGTACCCAGCCTGAGCAGTCATCTGGAAGTGGAGTGCACTGAGCCTAGAGGAGACAGATCTGACAAGGAGATTAAACAGATAAGGACCAAAAAGAAGTAAAAGGAATATAATCAGGAGTGGAACAAGAATAGTAGTTAACATAGAAGCCAGGATCCCCAAGAAAAGGATGACCTTGGTGTGTTAAGGTGTTCATGGATGTCTCACATCCAGGTGACTTTCTTTAGTCCTATAGAGCTCTACCTATTGAGCATTGTTAATATATGTACAGCAGGAGGTATTGGCCAGAGCACAGACCTCTCCACTAGAAGCAAGTAGATAGTCCAAAGCTATTTGTATAGAATGAGTTTACAAGTATACACACATACACACACACATATCTGTTTCTAATGGTAGCCATGGGGGTTGGGGAGCAGAAAGGAAGGGAAAAATGAAAGCTACATGGTAACTTTATTACATATTTAAAAGGAATAGCAAGTTGTACATAATAGATTTGCAGCTTCATGTGCAATCATCATTTTATTTCTATTCTACTGTGTTATAGAAATGTGCGTTTTATTTCCTAAGTTCAAAATAAAATAAATAAAAGTAAAAAAAGAAAGCCAAAAAATATTGAAAGTGAACTGTCTTAGCACATTTAACAAGCAGAGGTGGAATTCCTACCTTTTTTTATGGAGCACACAGGGAAGGGGGCCTAAGAGCAGCTGGGCTGGGATTGTTTGGACACCCAGCAAGACTGTTCCAATACAGGAGTGGTTGGTCATCCCTCAGGCAGAGCAGCCACCTTGCCCTCTTACTCTCTTCTTTTACCAATGCACATGGAGGCTCCCACTGGAATCAATTTGATCCAACAAATACTTATCAACAGAGTATAAACTATTTCACGGCAAAAAATATTTTGTTTTTTCTTGTATTCCATGACCTCACACAGGACAGACAGATGGAAGAAAAGGAGGGAATGAACAGACATTCCATGGGAAAAGGTTGGGGCTGGTGGTAAGA